CTGTGGCATGTGAGATTTGGACACGCATCGTTAGCTTATCTTAAAGCATTGCAATCAAAATTTCCCAACAATAAAGAATTAACTAATATAGTATTTAGTGAGTCAATTGCAAATTGTGAGGTGTGCTTAGTATCAAAGTTTAATAGATTGCCATTCCCAACGACGGGCAGGTGAGCAACACAATCGTTACATATTATACACTCCGATGTAATGGGTCCAATTTCTCCATGCTCACGTCCCAAGAATTATCGATTTATAGTAGTGTTTATAGATGATTATTCGCGTTTCGCGATGGCACATCCCATGAAAAGAAAGAATGAAACCGGTGTATGTTTGGAAATGTTTGTAAAAAGTGCACGTAATCTACTGGGTTACGATGCGAAGGTGTGTTATCTTCGATCTGATCAGGGGACAGAATTTACAGATGGGTACACGATAGAAGTATTGGATAAACTAGGCGCGGAGTTACAACTAGCGTGTCATGATACTCCAGAACATAATGGAGTATCGGAACGCTTTACTCAGACGATTCAAAAGAAAATTAGATCATATATTTGCAAAATTGCTGGAGAGTTCGTGGGATTTAGCGTTATCAGCAGATGTGTATGCATATAATCGCACTCCTCATAAGTCGAAAGATATGGTAACGCCTTTGGAGAGATTTGCCCCGAATCACAGTTTTAACATTAATCAAATAAAAAGATTTGGAAGTGTAGCATTCATGAAAATTCAGAGAAAGATGGGTCCTAAATTTCGAGCTGTAGCCATGTGTGTTATTCATGTTGGATATACACCTTCAGGATATTCCTTCTTGAGACCGGAAGATGGGAAATATCACAGAGCAGACACGTCAGGTTTAGAAGGTGAGATTTAAGGCGAAATTAGTTATTCGAGGATTCGAAGATAAAAATGTATATGAGTTATGGGAAACTGTAAAATAAGTTAATAGATGCTGGATCGAGTGAAGGACTGCGAGAGAGGGATACGAAAGAACAATGGGAAATTAACTGGGTGTGAAATTAACTAGTCACTGGTACACTGTCACAGCAATTTAATAAAAGTTCTAGAGTCGATCTTTACACTATTTACACTCGATAGTTTACCGTAGGTTCAAAGTATAGTTTTGCTGAGTTCGTATTTGAGAATTGAGTTGCTGTACCCACTTGGTTATAAATCTGATTAACTAACACTTTGAATTCCCGACAATTCTTCGTCATGTGACTGTTAGCTTGAACCCTCGAATGGATTATTGATGGAATGACTAACTAGTTCACTAAACCTTTGTTTAGTGATGTTTCTGGGCGCGAATGCACGCGTTATTTCTGGGGATGACTCTGACATGTGACTGACTAAAAGACGCTAACAATTCGCGCCGACCGTTGAGATTAACTCGGTAGCTAATCAGCGTCCAGTGGGTGCCGCCACTGACTGGAGTTTGAGATACCTCGGTGTGAGAGGATTATCGACTGGGAAAGGCGGGATTCTCAACAGAAACGTATGCTCCAGTATCTAGACTACCTCTCGTTAGGGCAGTGCTAACAATAATAAATAAATATGATTTAGAAGTTTGTCAAATGGATGTGAAAACAGCGTTTTTGAATGGTGAGATAGATGAGGAGATTTTTATGGAAATACCAGGTGGAACATCACATACTGATAAAGAAAGGAGAGATAAGGTGTGTAAGTTGGAGAGAGCACTTTACAGACTTCGAATAAGTCCCAAACGGTGGAACATTAAATTTACTGAAGTCGCATTGAGTATGGGATTGAAGAATTCAGACTTAGAACCATGTTTGTTTACTTGGGGCGATGAAGAGAAATTTTTAATTTTACTACTTTATGTAGATGATATTTTGTTGGCGAGTAGTGATAAAATGAAATTAGAAGAAGTTAAAATAAAGTTAAGGTTGGAATTTGAAATGATGATTTTAGGTGAACCGAAGGAATGTTTAAGTATTACTATTAGACAAGATAGAGAGAATAGAGTTATGAGTTTGAGTCAAGAGAAATATATTGAAAATATACGTCTGAAATTCGGTTTTGACAGATCACACCCCTAAAGAACACCAATGAACACTACACAAGTTACGAATCAGGAGAGAAAGGCGAGGGAAGAGAATAACGATGATGGTATGTTGAAACGAACAGAAAATCGAGAGAACGCTCCATACAGAGAGGCAGTAGGCAGTAGGTAGCTGACTGGTACTACAAGACCAGATATCTCGTATGCAGTAAATGTTTTAAGTAGGCACCAGATGAATCCAACCAGTGATGATTGGATGATGGTGAAGAGAGTATTTAGATATTTGAGAGGGACAACCTCTTTAGGTTTGAAATATACAGGTGAGTTAGATGATATACAGAGTTACTCAGACGCTAGTTTCGCGGATTGTAAGAATTCGTTAACTACTTGTGGGTTTTTGATTAAATTATTTGGAGACACTATAGTCTGGCGTATTCATAAACAAACATATGTGGCTCTGTCCACCTGTCAGGCTGAGTATGTAGTGATGAGCGAGGCGAGTCAGGGAATGCTTTCGATTTATAATTCCTTAAGACTGATTCTGATTGAACCCCCACTTCCGATGGTTTTATGGTGTGATAATAGAGCTGCAATAGTTAATGCTGAGACTAGTGGAGGTCATAAGTTGAGACACGTTATTGAAACCAGAGTTTACCACATGAAAGAATGTCAGAAAAGAGGATGTATAACAGTTAAATGAGATCAGATCTAATGTATTCACAAAACCGTTGTCGTTTGAATTACACAAACGACTGACAGATGAGATTATGAATGTAAATATGTAATTACTAATTTTTATTTGTTTTGGTTGATTTGGGAAAGTGAATGACCTGAGGAAAACAGTGGTGAGCAAAGGATACATGACGAAATACTGATATAAGTCGAGATAATGGAAACTTAACATTAAAATAATATTGAATCTGTTATTGAGCGTTGATACGTTAAGCTTATGTAATTAAGAAACACTGACATATTTAGTTTGTAAGAGTTGAAAAAGTTGCCATATTGAGTTTATAAAAGTATTACAAAGACAATGCAACTAGTATTATAAAGGTGAAATGAAAAGAGGATTTAAAGGTGAGACTTGACGGAGAGATTGGACTGAGAAGAGAGAACTCCGAAATAGTCTGGAGGGAGTGTTGAAAATGTAGATCGCGGGGGAGATACATCCGCCGAGTCAAAACTGTACACGGCACAGATGTGTACACGGAGCGCTACTGTGCACAGCAGAACTGTCCACAAAAGAAATAGTGCACGGGCGAAACTGTCCACGAGGACAAAGTGTCCACAACGCGCCAAGCCGATAAACTAGCATCGGTATTGTAGGAATCGAATACATTTATTACCTATAGAATAAAATTGTCAGTAACAATTTCCGTTACCTGATGGCGCTATAAGACTGGAAAGATTATTTTCGTGAAATATCCAGGGCTGTACTACCTGAACTCTTAGGTAAAAACTGAGTCGTGGACCCTAATAGGAGCTAACTGCATAATTGTTTGCCTCATTAACTCAAATGACAGGCCTAGAGTAATTACTATTATTATTTCATACATGAATGAGAACCGCAAATTAATTTGTTGATCAAATAATCATTAATCAGGATGGCCAATTATCTGATTGTCGGATCAATCCTCAACCATCACAAAAAAATGATCGATTCTTCAATCCATAAATAATTAATAACGTACACTTCCTAATTACTTTGATAATTGTTCATTCAATTACAAAGTTATTAAATATCAAATTAATTGGTTATTTTAACAATTATCTATTTATTATTATGATTAGTAAACTGATTAATGGATAATTTCAACCATTGATTCTTTGATTATCCAGTTAATCGCCCATTAAAATTAACCATTTACAACTTCCCAATCTACCGAGTAGTTACTGTAATCACCTCGAAAATGAATCATTAGATTTTTTTACCATTTCTCCATGTTTTAGGGTGCTTAAAACTTTTTTAAACCCATCTGAACGAAATACCTATTGTGTGGGTGTGACAATTTCTTCCGAATGAATTGTGCGATCAAGATGATCGATAACACAATCGGAAGGTCTTCATGTAATTTAGACCTGATTTCATTTTGAAGTGAATCCCTCCAGTGGTTTTTCCAAACTGTCTTGGAGAACAAATTGAAAATTTCTCAGACAAGGATTTTTCACGAATGAATTATGTAATTGTGATTAACGATATCAGAATATCACTGGGATGAATCGGTCCAGGGGTTTTCCCACGATGAAGTCTTAGAATTGATAAATTTTTGCACGGTTTGAATTATTGGATAACTTTGTAATATGCAGCGATAATTATCCAATAATGAAATAATCAAAAAATTCCTCGCGTCAATTCTTTAACGATAGTTTATTTCGTTTCCATCACGAATTGTTTGAAGCATCGAAAGTGGTCTTGGAATAATTGACAATTGATCGGAATATTGCATAATTATGGTATTCAATTGATGGTTGGGTAAATAATTGAAAATCTCTCCATAGAAATGATTCATTGACTAAATAATCGATTTTTTAAAATCCAAAATTCATCATGATCAGGGTTAATCAGAAATTTCCAGATTCAATTAATTCCTCTTTAAATAATTGATAAAAAAATCAAACAGGATTAACAGTTGATACATTAATCGGTTAATTTTTCATTCTGATTAATAATTTACTAATTTATTGATAGTCGTTGATGGGTGATTATTTATTTATAAAAAAAAGGGGTCAGCATTGATACCAATTGTCGATTAGTAAAATAATTGTCGATTACTAAAACCAAATAAAAATGTGGGATACTCGGGAATGTTGGACGGGTTGATGAAATTATAACACGCGTTATAACAGTAGAAATCGAATGAAGCATATTTTTGTTGTCCCGATGTTTGTGAGCGGCTTTATAGCACGCGCGGCATGTGCGTAACACGATGGTTCACGAATTGATTGATAAAAAGTCTGTTTTTTCTGGAAGGACAATGGAACGGGAAGGCTGTTTTTTCTAATCGATTAAATGATCGATCTTCGTCATTGGGCGGATTATGTAAATAATCAATGGGGACGAATTCCAGAAATTGTGTCGGTGCATAATTGTTGCATTCGCACCAACAATGATTCCGAGGCTTACAATCGACAATTCACACCTCGAGCCGGAGGTAAATCCCCTCCCGTCTTCTCATTCATTCGTACGTATGAAACATTGACATTTGGATAAACAATCCTGATATAATTCCCATGTCGAGAATCTCATAGGAGAATTGCATCTTGAATTCTAGGAAACTTGCAAGAGATACTGCGAGATGAAGTGACGAATATGACACGAATGAAGAATGGGCTACCGATTGTGAAGACCAAGCTCATGGAGATAAGGTTTAATCGGGACATGTGTCTTTTAGTGGCACAAAAAAATGTATCTAAACAAGAGTATGCATCAACAATTGTATTAATATCCGTGGATTGACTACGGTTGAATCCAATCCATTAATATCTATCCATCTCATTACAGAATTACTCTAGATGAAATATATACATTTCTGAAGCAATGTCTACCCGAAGAGCAATCGAAGAGAATTGATGAAGAACAACGTATCAGTTTGCGGGACAATGTTACAAGTTAGTTAGAATTTAACTGTTAAATCATATTGGAATTTTGGATTCCCCATAGAGCATTTTGAAAATTATCAATTTCTATAGGAGAAATGTAGGGGCGGGAAAAATCCCATCGTAGCAATTAAGAAATTTAAGCAAACCCTCGGCCAAGACCCCTTTTTTGCCGAGGGTAATAGACTGACGGCCTAGGTAAGGTTTATTGAGGGTTTTATTGGGGATAGACCTTTTGGCGACAGTCTGGCGCGCACGTGTGGGGAAATGCAGGGGAATTTCACGCAGGGAAATTAAGAGTTTGCCTCCCCCAAAAATGTTGCCATTTTGGGTATGCGTAGGAGTGGGGGTTGTAGTGGGGGGTAAGCTCGGGCCCAGAGTCGAAGTGCCCAAAACTTAGTCTTAAGTTTAGTTTTTTAACCAACCATCATGCAGATAAGATGTGTCTGGATTTTGTGTAACATTTAACTTTCATTTTAAATATACTTTTATTTTAGTGGAAGTCAATGTGTTTTTATTTCATCTGGCAGTTGCATGCCATCGTTATTATTATTCCCTACAAATTTTGGGGTCTCAACCGGGATATAACTCGGCATGCAGCAGAACTTTAAGTGTATCCAAGNTAATGGGGACGAATTCCAGAAATTGTGTCGGTGCATAATTGTTGCATTTGCACCAACAGTGATTCCGAGGCTTACAATCGACAATTCACACCTCGAGCCGGAGGTAAATCTCCTCCCGTCTTCTCATTCATTCGTACGTATGGAACATTGACATTTGGATAAACAATCCTGATATAATTCCCATGTCGAGAATCTCATAGGAGAATTGCATCTTGAATTCTAGGAAACTTGCAAGAGATACTGCGAGATGAAGTGACGAATATGACACGAATGAAGAATGGGCTACCGATTGTGAAGACCAAGCTCATGGAGATAAGGTTTAATCGGGACATGTGTCTTTTAGTGGCACAAAAAAATGTATCTAAACAAGAGTATGCATCAACAATTGTATTAATATCCGTGGATTGACTACGGTTGAATCCAATCCATTAATATCTATCCATCTCATTACAGAATTACTCTAGATGAAATATATACATTTCTGAAGCAATGTCTACCCGAAGAGCAATCGAAGAGAATTGATGAAGAACAACGTATCAGTTTGCGGGACAATGTTACAAGTTAGTTAGAATTTAACTGTTAAATCATATTGGAATTTTGGATTCCCCATAGAGCATTTTGAAAATTATCAATTTCTATAGGAGAAATGTAGGGGCGGGAAAAA